GATCCAGCTGAAGGCACGAGAGCAGCGACTGCGATGGTATGGGCACGTGCTGAGAAGGCCTGAGGACCACCCAATAAGGAAGGCATTGGAATTCGAAGCAGAGGGCAAGCGACCACGAGGAGCCCCAAAGAAAAGATGGAGGGACGTCATCAAGAAGGACCTCACTGAAGTGAAAGCCACGGCAGAAGATGCAGTGGATCGGAACAAGTGGCGACGTCTAACAAGAACAGCGGACCCTGCGACGGCGCGGGACTAACGCTAGGGAGAAGAAGAAGAGCTACAACATGGAATGTCTCACGGCTTCGCATCAGATGAACGACGCATATTTCTCGTGAAAGCAATCCCTTTCAGGGACCATCACTTCAGTAATACAGGAAACACTCAAACAGAAACACAAGCTAGAAAGGGATATATATCCCCCTCAAATTTTTGCAAGGTATTTTATGAACGTTCATCATTCAAAAACTTGTCAATGAACTCCGTCACAATATCATGAAAAGTCGCAACGTAGCAGAAGTGATGTTTGGTAGCTACCCGGAAGTGGCGCGCTGATTCCTCGCCCGAGTTCTGCGTGCGATACGCAAGGTGCTACCGAGGGGTGAACGACCTCGGCTAGAGGAGCTAGTTCGAATTGGGGCTATGAACGTAAGGTCGCTTGTCGGAAAAGCTCGAGTGGTTGCCGATCTCACACCAACCAGGGATATCAAAATCCTATGCCTTCAGGAAACGCGATGGAAGGGTGCGAAGGCCCGCGAGATTGGAGAAGGCGTCAAACTCTTCTACAATGGAGCAGACACCAAACGGAATGGTTTGGCCATAGCGGTGGCAGAATCCCTCAGCACTGTTTGCCTTCTATGACTACGATCACTGATCGTATCATGGGGGGTGATAATGGACACGAAGGGTGGGGGAGCGGAGGGGCGGGCTGGATAGTTCTGGCTCTGTGCGCGCCACAGTCTGGTCGCTCCTGGTTTTCACGGCTCGATAAAGAAGGTAGACATGGTTGGGGCACACTACGCATCAACCCTGAGCCCCTTTCTGTTCATATTGACTCTGAATCAATGGAGGGCTCGCTAAAAACTAATATCTACGCTGACGACATTCTCAAGATGTGCTTGCAAGATACGGACTCCAGACGAATGTAATGATGGACGAATTCCGAGCTCCAAACTGAGCTCCGACACCATTGTACACGTGTACCGCGAAAACGTTGATGAAGTCGAAGACCTCCAGTACATGGGGAGTCATATAGCTGCGCTTTGGACTAGATGGTAAATGAACGCATCAGTGGAACTTGGATGAAATGGAGAGTGTTCACAGGGCGTTTCTGCGACCGACGGTGCCCGTGGACGCTCGAAGGCAAGGTACAGCGGCCAAGTCAGGAATAGGACGTCTGGGCCGTCACTTAGACGGACGGCTCCGATTCAGTTGAAGGCAGCAACGGCGATATTATTACAAGAATGCTGAGTTGAGCTGAGAGGGAATGAGTGGCCCTGGTAGCGTAATAGAGAACCAACCGCCCGGTAAATGGAAGATCCGAAATCGGGTTCGAATCCCGTCCGTGGTCCGACTTTTGCCCACAACTCAGCATTCTTGTGATAACTTTCGGATCGCGCACTGCGGCGTTAAACAGCAGTTAACAAACAATAACGGCGACAGTATCAGCACGTGCTGAGGAGGCTCGAAGAACGCTCAGTTAGAAAGGCGTCAGAATTGGAAGTACTGTGCACCACCAGGAGCTCAAAGGAGAAGATGGTGGG